CTGTAAAATGTTTATGAATCAATAAAAAATGTTAAAAAAAATAGCTTAAGTGATAAACAAATCAAGTTTCAAATTTGTAACTACTTCCCCTGTAGACATGTTTTTATGACTTATATGTTCCACCTAGAAGTATGATTGCTGGGTCTATGATTAACTTTATAAGAAAGTGCCAAACCATTTCTGAAGTGGCTGTTATCATTCTGCATTCCTACCAGCCATCAATGAGAATCCCTGCCTATCAGCATCCTTGCCAGCATTTGACTTTTTCCTTTCTTCTCTTTTTGTTTTGGATTTTTGCCATTCTAAAAGGTGTGTACTGTATCCCACTGTGGTTTTAATTTACATTTATCTGTTGACATAATGTTGAGCATCATTTCATATGTTCATTTGCCATCCATACACCTTCTTTAATGAACTTTCTGTTCAAATTTTTGTCCATGTTAAAATTGAGTTGTCTTACTAACTTGTAAGTACTGTTTATATATTCAAGATGCAAGTCCTTTGTTGACTACATCAAATAGTCGTCTAACTTCTGGGTTTTTTCCCAGTTACTGTGAATTCCTAATTATTCGTGGGCAGCTCCTGAGGAGACCTACAAGAACAATAGAGCAGCCACTCACCTCTGAAACTGTAACTTTATTAGGGTACTTGTAACCCCTTGCCGTTGTTGAAGGGATTTTATCTGTTTCCAAGTCCGTAATATACTGCGTAGAAGGGAGAAGTCCTTTTCCCTTTCTAAATCATAGAGCTGTTTTGTATTACTACAATAACAATGGTAGATCAAAAATATGTTAGTGGCTTAGACTGTAGGCCATTAAAAATGGCCTAGAAGAATGTATTGCACTTACTCTTCTGGATCCCCCACCTTCTTCTTTTTTTTTTTTTTTCATTTTACCCACATTTTGATATAGAGAGTGAAATTCCTTTTAGAGAGTCATGCCTCTTTTACTTAAAGATTTTTCACATTTTAGCTCTGCTAAAATCCATGTATTTCCAGATTTTCCAGACATTCTGTAGTGTATTTATTACACTTTTTCCAGATTAACAAATAGAACCATTGCTTCAAGTTTTGAGATACTTTGCCTGATGGGGTAGGGAGCAGATTATTTGGATACTGAAATAATATACTGTTTAAAGATGCTTATTCTGGCTTCTTCACTTTGCAAACACATATAGTATGGAGAATTACAATGATTGATTTTCTTTTTTTTCCCCTTTGTCTTTCAGCATTTCTGTCTTTTCTTTTTTTAATTGAAGTGTAGTCAGTTACAATGTGTCGATTTCTAGTCAAGCATAATGTCCCACTCATGCATATATATATATTATATATATAATGTATATATAATATATATATACACACACACACACATTCATTTTCATATTCTTTTTCATTAAAGGTTATTATAAGATATTGGATAGAGTTTCCTGTGCTATACAGAAGAAATTTGTTTTTTAATCTGTTTTTATTTATAGTGGTTATCATTTGCAAATCTCGAACTCCCAAACTTATCCCTTCCCAGCCCCAACTGATTTTCTAACGTTAAATCATCCTTGCATTCCTGGAATAAGCCTAGCTTTTACATTATTTGATAAAATTCTGTTCAGCGTATTTGCATCTATTTCACAAATGAAATTGGGCTGCAATAATTTCTGTATTGTTGTTAGGATTTAATTTCAAAGATAAAATAAACTCATAAACTAAGTTGAGAATGTGGTCTCTTTTTCTACTCTTTGGGAATTTTTGAAAAATAGAAGTTATGTTTAAATCAAAGGTTCTCAAGCTTTATTGTGCATTAGAATCACCTGAGGGCTTGTTAAACACAGATTGCCAGGCCCCAGCCCCAGAATTTCTGATTCAGGAGGTCTGTGGTAGACCTGACAATTCACATATCTAACAGGTTTCCAGGTGAAGTTGAAGCTGCCCTCGGGGGACCACACTTTGAGAATCACCACTTTAAATGTTCTATAGAATTCTAGTTTTGTCATCTGAGCCTGGAGTTTTCTTTGCCAAAAGGTTTCAAATTACTGATTTGATTTCTTTAACAATTATTGAACTATATATTTTTTTCCCTTCTTCTTCCTTATTTTGGATATATTCTAGTTAGTTGCATTTTTGTAGATATTTGTCCTTTTCATGTAAATGTTTATATTCTTTAACATAAAGGTGTTTAAAGTATACAGCATCGGTAGTAACGTCCCCCTTTTTTTTCCTTGATACTGTATATTGTGTATTTGTGCTGTTTCTTTTTTCATCAGCCTTGCTCGAGTTTATCAATTTTTATCAAATTTTTGGATTTGTTGATTCTATCCTAGGTTTCTTACTAACTTCTGTTCTTTTTATTTCATTTCTTCTATCCTTTTCCCTAACTTAAGAAGAATGCTTAGCTCATCCATTACCTCCTTCTTTTTCTCTATGTAATTAAATAAAATTTCCTCTGAGAATTATTCTAGCTCTGACAAATTTTGATACATATTCATTTTTTATCAGTAAATTCAAAATATTTTCCAATTATCAATATGATGTCTTCTCTGATAGATTGTTGAGACATGTATTTCTTAATTTCCAAACATATGGAGATTTCCTAGCAACCTTTTTTGTATTTTTGTGTTGGGTTTCTGCAGTGAATGAATTAAATCCTTTGAATATACTGAGACTTTGAGACTTACTGAGATAACATAAGGTCAACTTCTGTAAATGTTCCGTATGTTCCTGAAGAGAGTGGTATTTTGCAGTTGTTGGGTGCAATATTCTGCAAATATACCTATTAGCCAAGTTTATTAATCATGTTCATATCTTCTATATTCTGAGTTTTTTTGTTGTTTTTAGTTTCATCAATTACTAGAAGTGTGTTAAAACTGCCCCACACATTTGTGAATTTGCTATTTCTCCTTGTATTTGTCAAATTTTTCTTTATATATTTTGAAGCCATATTATTGTATGCTATATGTATATTATGTGTGTGTACACACATGTGAATTAAATCATATATTCTCATGTGGTTTATTATCTCTAGTAAAGCTTTTTGCCTTAAAGATCTATTTTACCTTATATTATCATACTCTGCCAGCTTTCTTCTGTTAGTGTTTGTATGGCATATTTTTTCTCTTATTTTATTCTCTTTCTATATCCTTATGTGCTAATAAATAACATATAAATAACATAATCAGATTTTTTAAAAATTATTTTAATCCAGTCTATCAATCTAGGTAAAAATGGATCACTTAACCCATTTAGATATATTTAGGTTTTATTCTACCATTGTCTTTTAAACTTTCTACTTGTCTCATCTGTTTCTATATTCCTTTGTCTCTATTTTTTTTAACCTTCTTTTGATTGCTTGAGTATTTTTTATTATCCCATTTTCCTCTTCCATTGATTTGAAAGCTGTATCTTTTCATTCTCTTCCTTTAGAGACTGTAAGTCAGAATCTAAGTCCTTGATTTATCAAAGTCTAATGTTAAGCTTTACCTTTACTCTCCTCTTGGTCAGTGCAAGTATTTTTAATCACACTTACCCTTCTCCATTCTTTACTCCATTCTAGAAGTTTTATATTTCAACTCTCTCTGTGTTTTTATATCCCATAAAACATCACTACATCATTACATGATTGTTCGTTGAGACCTACGTATCTACCATATTGTTTCTCAGTCCTTCCTTCCTTATTCTGTGTTCATTATGGCCAATGACTGTTCTTTGATTTAAGTTTTAATCTTATAAATAATACTAATTTATTATTTTGTAAATACTGATTAATTCCATTCTATTCATTCACTCATTCATTCGACTAATATTTACTGAGCGCTCACTATGTGCCAGTACTTGTACAAGGCATATGTCAACTTTCTCAAGTGATACTGTTTGCATTTAACTAGGTTATTCTGGGAAACCAATTATTTAAAACATATTGCCTCTAGTGGTTAAGAGTTTGTAGAACCATTTCAGGTAAATGGGCAGGGAGTCAGGGAAATTCTTTAACTATCAAATACTTTCACAGACAGATAGCTGTCATTTCTTTGTACATAGTTTAAGTTTCTACCCAATAAGTATCTCCCAGTGAGCTTTCCTGCTTTTGGAGATTCCATGACACATAATCATGTGTTGTCTTAGAATTACTTTTCCAGTTATTTCATTCTTTCCTAATATCTCATCTTGTCTATCAGCCAATGGTTCCCAACTTGTAGACCACTTTTTAACAAAGGTCCTTACACTTATATGCTCTTTGAGTATAATCTTTAGACTGAATTAATGATAATGTATCTTGCACATATGTGCATGTGGACTAATTATCAAATATATACAAACACTTGAGATAAATATAATCCAAGTCAATTGAAAAGTATTAGTAAACCCATAGTAGTTTTTCATCATTTTTTTAAATAGATATTAAAACTACAACTACTTCCATGTGACACCTCTGTGATACATTTTTACACAAAAATAGGTCTTTACAAAAGGTTGAAATTATTGCTTCAATTACCTGAAGAGTAAAGATTTTGTCATTTTCTTATGTCTTCAATAGCATTGTACAATACTCTGTCTAAAGAAGTTACTTAGTAAATGCTTGATGAATACATGAATGGTATAAAACCTACCTTATCTGCCAATAATAATCCTGTAAAGATTCTGTGGTCAGCTGGCTTCTTTCCAAATTTTCATTTGCCAATTTGGTAGCATCTGTCAGTGCTTTAAGCTACAACAAAGAAAAGAGCCTTTTTGGCACATTTCATCTACTTGTCACCAACACTGCAATTCACCTGTCAGTCTAGGTGTATGCAGCAGAAGCCTAAGTGTATAACTTTTTGTGTATTACAGTCTTATCTTCCAAAATACATTTCATTTAAGCACTTTGGGGCAGAAGTGAAAAGACCCTCAATATTTGTCTAAGAAATGAACATTATACTTTGAAACTTCTCAACAATCAGTTTATCAGTTAATATAAAGAAATGCCAGTCAATCAAAATGACAGCTTGAGCACAGGAATCTACCTTATCTTCTACCTAAAAATCCCATGGTTACAGAAAAGATATCTGTCTGTCTGTATCCATATCCACTGCCATCATCACATTCACATCTATATATCTCTCTATGAAAGAACAGGTGCACGCCAACATAGGAAAACAAGAAAAATAAAATCAAGAGAACAAAATTTGCAGAGGAAAGTAAAAAACAGAGAGAAACATCCACAGAGAATATCCACAGAGAAATAAAACCAGAGGAAACTACATCCTAAAACATGTACAGAAGAAGTCTTTCACAGTTAGGGACAGTTTGTGGGAACTCCAAGACTATGGTCAACTAATACAGACTTCTACTGGAAGATAAAAGAGAAGACCTCAACAAATGCAAAGACATGAAATGAGGAAACCCAAATTTTATAAAGATAAAACTTCTCTCAAAATTAATATAATAATATAATGCAATTACAATAAAAGTAGCAGGATTTTGAAAAAATTCTTATCTTTTATTGAAGTGTAGCGATTTACAATGTTAGTTTCAGGTGTACAGCAAAGCAATTCAGTTATACATATACATATGTGTATATGTATATACACATATATATGTACATCTATATTCAGATTCGTTTCCATTACAGCTTATTACAAGAAACTGAATATAGTTCCCTGTGCTATACAGTAGATCCTTATTGTTTATCTATTCTGTATATAGTAATATCTATCTGTTAATCCCAAACTCCTAATCTATCCCCCCATCTTTCCCTTCTGGTAACCACAGTTTGTTTTTGGTGTCTGAGAGTCTATTTCTAGTTTGTAAATAAAATTTGTATTTTTTTAAGATTTCACATATAAGCAACATCATATGATATTTGTCTTCCTGTGTCTGACTTCACTCAATATGATAATCTCTAGGTCTATCCATGTTGCTGCAAATGGCATTATTTCATTCCTTTTTATGGCTGAGTAATATTCCATTCTCTCTATATATACCACATCTTCTTTATCCATTCATTTGTCAACAGACATTGAGGTTGTTTCCATGTCTTCTATTGTAAATAGTCCTGCTGTGAACATGAGTCTTCTCAAATTATGGTTTTCTCTGGATATATGCCCAAGAGTGGGATTGCTGGATCATATGGTAAGTCTATTTTTAGGTTTTTGAGGAATCTCCATACTGTCCTCCATAATGGCTATACCAATTCACATTCCCACCAACAATGTAGGGGGGGTTCCTTTTTTTTCCCACACTCTCTCCAGCATTTATTATTTGTAGACTTTTTAATGATAGCCATTCTGACTGGTGTGAGGTGACACCTCATTGTAGTTTTAATTTGTATTTCTCTAATAATTATCGACATTGAGCATCTTTTCATGTGCCTTTTGGCCATATGAATGTCTTCTTTGGAGAAATGTCTGTTTAAGTTTTTGCCCAATTTTTGACTGGGTTGCTTGTTTTTCTGATATTAAGCTGTATATATTGTTTGTATATTTTGGAAATTAGTTCCTTGTCAGTTGCATCATTTGCAAATATTTTCTCCTATTTTATAGATTGTTTTTTCATTTTTGTTTATGGTTTCCTTAGCTGTGCAAAAGCTTTTAACTTTAATTAGGTCTCATTTGTTCATCTTTGTTTTTACTTCCATTACTCTAGGAGCTGGTTTGAAAAAAAATATTGCTGTGATTTATGTCAAGGAGTGTTCTGTCTATATTTTCCTCTAGGAGTTTTATAGTATCCAGTCTTACATTTAGGTCTTTAATCCATTTTGAGTTTATTTTTGTATATAGTGTTAGAGAATGTTCTAATTTCATTCTTTTATATGTAGCTGTCCAGTTTTCCCAGTACCACTTACTGAAGAGATTGTTTTTTCTTCGTTGTATATTCTTGCCTCCTTTGTCATAGATTAATTGACCATAAGTGTGTTATTTCTGAACTTTCTATCTGGTAAAAGGATTTTTAAAATGGAAGTTGACAAGCTAATTCTGAGGTTCAAAAGGAAGATAAAATCTTTAAGAATATGCAAAAATATTCTAGGAAAAAACAATAAGAAGGTATTTGTCTTTCCACATCATAATTTAATAATTAAATAGAGTAATTTAAACAGGGCAGGACTAGACCAATATGGCAGTAGAATAAATAATTAGTCCTTAAACAAATCTACGTAAATATGTGAAGCCTGTTTAGGATAAAGGCAGAATTTTAAATCAGTATGAAAATTATGGTTTTTGGAATATAGGCTTACCTTTTATGGGAAAGAAATTGATTTGGAGCCTGACCTCACAAGACATAGATATAAACTCTAGACAGAATTAAAGGCTAGAAATCATACACATACGTACACACAGATAATATATCATATATATATATATTATTAGCAGAATATATAGAAAGATATCTTTATAATTTTGGCTTACCAGATACTATTGGTTGCCCTTGAATGATCATTTTTCTTGGTTGGTAGGACCTCAATTTTGTTCAATTGCTCAGTCTTCTTCCATGTATTTCAGAAGTAAACACTGATTAGTCTAGCCATTTGTAGCAAACTCGTTTTTCTTGCTAGTGACTAATTTAGGTATGATCATATGATGTAACTCTAGCCAATGAGACATGAGGGGTTATCTGCTGAGGTGTGGGAGAAAGGTTGGAAAGGACTCTTAAGGTGAGACTCTAAGCTGCACATTGTGTGTCTGGCCAGCATGCCTCCAGCTGGAGCAGCCGCTCTGTTAGTTCCCATGAGAAGAGCTAACCAAGTCAACTTGTTGAAGATGAAGATTAAAGAGGGAAAAAAGCCAGGGTTGTTGATGATATTGTTGAGCCACCAAATTAACCAACTCTAGAGCTTCCCTAACTTGGGACTTTTGATATCAGAGGTAATATCTTTTCCTTATTGTTTAAAGCAAATGAGAGAGTTCTCTGTGAATTGTAACCAAAGGTATGCTGACTGACACAAGTCTCAGGAAGCTTAGCAAGTGAACAACACAACCTAATTCCCAAGAGAAAGGATTAGCAAAATTTGACCTCATAAAATTTTAAATATTTCCAAGAGATAGGAAAAATGAAGTTGAAAAGCAAGCAAAATGGGGCAAGAACATATAAAACCTATTCAAAAGACATATATCTCATATGGACTTATATCCAGTGCATGTGTATGTGTGTGTGTGTATATAATATATATAATATATACATACTAAAACTCTTACAGAGTACTTAAAGATAAACAAAGCTACAGAAAAACGGGCAAATAATATCAACTATTGGTAAGTACTCTGGGAAGTGCGTTCTCTCCTGTACTGCCAGTGGAAATTCAAACTGAAAACCTTTTTTGGAAAGGCAATTCATTACTCTTTAATAAAATTTAAACTTTATGCAATCTTACTCTTAACCAAGAAATTTCACTTCTAGGAATCTAGCCTACAGAAGTTTTCACATATGTGCTCAGATATATAGGTATAAGGATGTTCACTGCCTCACTATTTGTAATCATAAAAAATGGAAATGACCTAAGTGTCATGAATGGGGAATGATTAAACATATTAAAATATAATTAATTAAAATACAGGTATATTATGGGTCTATATATAGTGAAATGGAAAAAGCTCTGAGATGCAGAATTAATTTTTAAGAACCAAGTTGCCAAATATTACATATGGGAAGATCTAATTTATTTTAAAAACCATTGTGGCATATATATACAGGATACATGGAAAAGAGAACTTTAAAGTTATAGTCCAAACCATGAGGTAAAAATTAAAAGTAGGGCTCAAAAAGACACCTGCACCCCAATGTTCATAGCAGCACTACTTACAATAGCCAAGACATGGAAAATAGCCTAAATGTCCATCAACAGATGACTGGATAAAGAAGATGTGGTATATTTATACAGTGGAATACTATTCAGCCATAAAACGACAACATAATGCCATTTGCAGCAACATGGATGTTCCTGGAGAATGTCATTCTAAATGAAGTAAGCCAGAAAGAGAAAGAAAAATATCGTATGAGATCGCTCATATGTGGAATCTAAAAAAAAAAAAAA